GCGGCGTAATCAGTATGAGGTGAATTATAACAATACTAAATACTGTGAAATATTACAGAGTAGTAACTCAAGTAGTAACGATAATTGTGGTTCATTTAAACAATGCGGCGTAATCAGTATGAGGTGAATTATAACAATACTAAATACTGTGAAATATTACAGAGTAGTAACTCAAGTAGTAACGATAATTGTGGTTCATTTAAACAATGCGGCCGTAATCAGTATGAGGTGAATTATAACAATACTAAATACTGTGAAATATTACAGAGTAGTAACTCAAGTATTAACGATAATTGTGGTTCATTTAAACAATGCGGCCGTAATCAGTATGAGGTGAATTATAACAATACTAAATACTGTGAAATATTACAGAGTAGTAACTCAAGTAGTAACTATAATTGTGGTTCATTTAAACAATGCGGCCGTAATCAGTATGAGGTGAATTATAATAATACTACATAGTGTTAAATATTACAGAGTAGTTAGTGTGATATATTTCAGTTTAGTACCAAAACATTAGGCACTTTCTTGTATGCAGAAGAATGCTAATATTTTACTTATCGAACACCTTTACTTGAAATAGCAGGAAATGAATGTAATATGTAAATTTAATGTAACGTAATTCAACAGTTCTAGATAAAGAAGCATAGTAATTGATGGGATGTTGAATATTATTTTACATATTTGATTCAAAATAAATGCTGGAAATGCAGGCTTTTAAATGTTGTAAGATAAAAATTAGAACCAGTTGAAACAAGCAGTGCTTTTCAAGACTATAAACAAACAAAATAAAAATATTTGTTTTAGCGCAATGGACTATATCCACTCTTTCCATTATAGGACTCAAACACCGGATTTTAGCGTTGCATTGACTCACCTGGGTACAATAAAAAAGGATAATAAACAAAACTTGTAGACACTACTATTATTTTTTAAGGAAATTTGTTTGTTATTTAGTTTCAAGTTACGCATCGATTTCAAAACGAAATCTGTGATTATGACGATAATATTTAAATAGCTTCCCCTCATTCTGCTTATTCTAGGTATTTGAGAATTATTTATAAAACAATTATTGGTGCGCTACTTTTATCCTTGGCGTTCTTTTCTTACACAGGTTTTGATAGTTTTAAAAATCAGTAGCTTTATTCATAAATCTTCAATATCTCATAGTTTCAGGAGTACTTTGAAAAATATTGAAAAGATTGTTTCAGGATTCCTAATTGTCTTTATGGAGTTGTCCACTAGGCTTGTCTTTCTTTAAATTAACCTAGCTTCCCGATTATAAAAAGTCATTTCTTGCAAGTTAACCTAACTTCCTGACTATAAAAATACATTTATTGCAGATTAATCTTCCTTTGCGACTATAAAGTAACATTTCTTGAAAGTTAACCTAGCTTCCCATTTATAAAAAGACGTTTGTTTTAAGATAACCTAGCATCCGGACTATAATGTGACAATTTTTGCAAGTTAACCTAGCTTCCCGACTATAAAAAGACATTTCTTGCAAGTTGACCTAGCTTCCCGACTATAAAAAGACATTTCTTGCAAGTTGACCTAGCTTCCCGTTTATAAAAAGACATTTCTTGCAAATTGACCTAGCTTCCCGACTATAAAAAGACATTTCTTGCAAGTTGACCTAGTTTCCCGTTTATAAAAAGAAATTTTTTGCAAATTATATTAGCTTCTCGACTATAAAGTGACAGTTTTGTAAGATAACCTATCCTTCCATTCATAATAAGACATTTTTTTCAAATTAACCTAGGTTCACGAATATAAAGTGACATTTCTTGCAAGTTAGCCTATCTTCCTGACAATAAAGTGACATTTATTTTAACATAGCCTAGGTTCTCGACTATAAAAAGACATTTCTTGCAATTTAATCTGGTTTCCCTATAACCTGGTTTCCCTACTATTAAAATACATTTCTTGCAAATTATCCTAACTTTCCGACTATAAAAATATATTACTTGCAATATTAACCAACTTTCGGACTATAAAAAGACATATCTTACAAATTAACCTACTTCCAAACTATAAAAAGACACTACTTGCAAGTTAACTTAGCTTCTTCACTGTAAAATGATATTTCTTCCAAGTTAACCTTTTTTGTCGACTATAAAGTGACATTTATTATAAAATAACCTAGCTTCCGGACTATAAAGATATATGTCTTGCAAGTTGACCTGGCTTGCCGACTATAAAAAGACATTTTTACAAGTTAACCTAACTTTCCGATTTTAAAGTGACATTTATTGTAAGATAATCTAGCTTTCCGACTATAAAATTATATTTCTTGCAAGTTAATCTAGCTTTCCGACCCTTAAGTGACATTTCTCCCAAGTTAACCTAGCTTCCCGACTATAGAGAAATGTCACTTAAGGGTCGGAAGCTAAGTTAACTTGCAAGAAATGTCACGTTATAGTCGGGAAGCTAGGTTAACTTCAGAGAAATGTCACTTTATAGTCGGGAAGCTAGGTTAACTTAAACATTTCTTGAAGGTTAACCTAGCTTCCCGACTATAAAGTGACATTTCTCTGAATTTAACCTAGCTTCCCGACTATAACGTGACATTTCTCTGAAGTTAACCTAGCTTCCCAACTATAAAGTAACATTTCTTGAAAGTTAACTTATCTTTCCAACTATAAAGTGACATTACAACTTTAGATTACCATTATGAAGAAATTTGAGTTAATTGAGTGTTATTAGTATAATTACTATTCACACCTCATACTCTAATTAAAATTATTTATTCAAACCCATTTATGGATAGGAGAAGTAGACACGTTAATTGACAGTTTAAAATAACTACTGAAACCAACCTGGATAATATTTGTTTTCTTTTTTCTTTACTTTAATTGAATAAAATGTCTTTCAAACGTAAACTCGTTCAACGCTGTAACTATTTTACACTTCCAAGCGATCGCTCCTGCATATACATGCATGCACACTTGACTTTTGGTCTGTTATAATAACAGTTTTCTTTAGTATCGTGAATAAAAAACGATAACAGCTAAATTGTGAGAAAATCTCAAAATACTAGAAATAATTAAAATCTCTAGAGAAAAATAATTATTATTATTATTAGTTTAGACGAAACGACATAATTCTACTAGTGCAATGATTTTAATTTTTTTCTTTGAGTACTTTAATGAATTTGATTGTTACTTATATTAAAGTAGAGAGTGTGAAAATGTTATATGATTGGAAAATTTGAAATTTTTAATGCTACATCTATCCGTTCTCTTACGATGACTTGTAGAATAGGAAAATAAAAACTACAGAGTTTTCTATAAATATAACAAACCAACTTGTTCGCCAGTTTTTAGTCCTTGAAGTTAGAACTATCGAACAGAATTCTAGGTGATGTAGAACCTTTATCGAAACTTTTCAATCATTAGTTAATTAACAGTTCAAATAAAACATTTCACGTTTTTATTCAATGGTTAATCTAAATAAATTCCGTGATCTGCAGTGTTATAAACGGAAAGGTATATTCACATTTAAAGCACTATCTTATTTCTTTTTATCAGAAAAAAAAATGGGGAAATTTCGACCTTTTAATAAATCTTGATCGCCTTACCAATATGATATCACTTAACTCACGATGATACCGTTTATTATCTTCTATAATCATATTCAAACAATAAACTTTTTGTCAGAATGATATGATTTAAGGCACAATGACGCCTTAAAAGTCAATATTTAATAGATATAAAGTAGAGTAAGCGCTATATACATTGCATGACCATGAAATATCGATCTTCTTCACAGCAGCTCTATGTTACAACCAATCACAGCCTTAATAAAGTAAACAGTAGTTTAAGAACTGGAATTACACACCGTGAATTGCAATATAATACCAGTATGAAGTTACACACTATGAAATGTGATATAATACCAGTATGAAGTTACACACCGTTAAATGTAATATAATACCAGTATGAAGTTACCCTGAATTGTAATATAATATCAGTATGAAGTTACCGTGAATTGTAATATAATACCACTATGAAGTTACACACCGTTAAATGTGATATAATACCAGTATGAAGTTACACACTGTGAAAGGTAATATAATACCAGTATGAAGTTACATACCGTTAAATGTAATATAATATCAGTCTGAAGTTACCCTGAATTGTAATTTAATATCAGTATGAAGTTACCGTGTAATGTAATATAATACCAGTAGGAAGTCACCGTGAATTGTAATATAATAGCAGTATAATGTTACTCACTGTGAAGTGTAATATGAAATTACTCACCGTACACTGTAAGGTAAAATTACTCACCGTACAGTGTAATGTAAAATTACTCACCGTACAGTTTAATAATTCCTTCTGCCTCTCCGAGTGAGTTCTTTGCTGAACAATAGTAAGTGCCAAAGTCATCAGGTTCGAGATCTCGAATCTGGAGGCTCAACTGAGTCTTGTAAGTGCCCTTGGCTATCTCTTTGGCTTCATACTTTTCGTTAGAAATGACGATGAAAACGTCTTTTCCTCTGATCCAATAAGCCACGGACTTCGGATGAGACTCTAACTGACAGTCCAGGATGACGTCACTTCCAATAGCAGCACCGACTACGTGGTTTGGTATCGAGATGGCGGGATGAACTGTCAGATAAATAAAAACTGTTAAATCCTGCTGATTTTTGTCAACTTATCACTACATGTAGTACCTTTCCAAGTTTCTGTGTAAGTTGCTAACGTACTACCTTCCCCATTTGTTTATTCTTTCACCATTATTTTTAGGGTAAAATTTGTTGCTGTCAATATTCTAGTGGAGATTAATTAATCGTTCCATTAAATGGGTGTATGGTATAGATAAATCGCCTTTAGAACCCAGTGTTGATGATATAATATCCATGTTATAGTATTTGTGGGACGTAAGACACTTATATATAAATTGAGACGAGTGTGTAAATAAGTAAAGTCTTAACAGAAACAATTTTTCCAATATTTAACGTTGATTTGTCCTTTGTCACTATTTATACACATAGATCTGTGTTTGTTTCTGCATTTCTTAAAAATTTCACGTTTATCCATTCATAATTACTACCACATTTCCAGAAACGTTCGGCTTTAGGACACGGTATTACCATGTCTTATGTCCTTTCAGTCTCGTTTATAATTTCCTTCTTGTTTGCTCTAAGTACATTTTACTGCAATTACAAATGATTTGGTAGATTACATCTTTATCTTCAATCTTGTTTTTCTCTCTAAGTATTTGTAAATGGTTATCAGTTTGGTTTAGAGAAATAAAAGCTATGTTAAAACATTTTAATCGGTGTGATTTTTTAATATATTTTTTTCCCAAAATAACAGTAAAAATAGTATACTAATGAACTAATTTTATGTACATTTTAATGAAGTATCTCATTCGTAGACGTTGTTCATTTTATGGAAAACTTTGTCAACAACTATAGTGTCATAACCTCTATCCACTGCTACTGCTTTTAAGAAATTTTGTTCGTTGTTTATGTACATATGTATTGAGAACATATATTAACCACACATCAAGCATATATGTAAAATATAAGTTTTTCGAAATGTTCTGAATTTTAACTTACTATAGTTTTGAACGAGAACATCTAAGAAAGCTAATTCAGATTTATTGGACTGTACAATGAATTTAATTCCTTCATCGTTATTTATGTAGTTTAAAAAGTTCACTGTTGTGTTGCCACACCGTGGCTATTGATTTTCTAATATTCAATTCATTTTGAGTGTTAGTTTCATTTAAAATTATTGTTTCATGTCTTTGTATGGAATGACCGTTTCGTCGATAGTGTGTTCAGATAGAGGAGTAACTAGCATTATATATTTTAATATATACGCAACCATTAAGACGATATTTTAAATTAAGTTTAGTTTGACCAATACATTTATATTGAATTATATCTAATTATAACCCAATTCACTTTTTTTTGTTAAATTAGTTGCATCAGAAGGTATTGGAAAATTTCTGTCTGTATAAGTATGAACAGCTGCTAGTTTGTGGAGAAAATTGATGAAATCTTTCATTTTATACGCTGGTCCTATTTTAATTTTGAACTTTATTGCATTGTTTGGCTTGGTAAAAATTTTTAAACTTTTAGAATATTTCAATAATTTATCCTTTTTTGATCGTAGTTGAATTGGTATAATACATTAGGAACGACGTTTCAGCGTAGAACCTAACGAAGGTACTATATTAAGTGATGAGCTAATCACATTACTGAAATCTTCCTATATAATCAACTTATGAAATAATATCACAGAAACCTTCCCGTATAATCAACTTGTGAAATAACATCGCAGAAACCTTCCCCTATAATCAATTTATGAAATTACATCACATAAACCTTCCTATATAATCCACTTATGAAATAACATCACAGAAACCTTCCCTTATAATCAACTTGTGAAATAACATCACAGAAACCTTCCCTTATAATTAATTTATGAAATTACATCACATAAACCTTCCTATATAATCCACTTATGAAATAACATCATAGAAACCTTCCTATATAATCCACTTATGAAATCACATCACAGAAACCTTCCCTTATAATCAACTTATGAAATCACATCACAGAAACCTTCCCTTATAATCAACTTATGAAATAACATCACAGAAACCTTCCCTTATAATCAGTTTATGAAATCACATTACAGAAACCTTCCCTTATAATCCATATATTAATTACCTATGGATAATTTGTTTTTAAAGGTGTTTCTGAATCTTACTAATTTTGTACGAGTAAAATGTTGCCAAGGATTTTCTAGATGTAGTGACTATAAAACCTTACCGAAGGTGACTCCAAATATTATTAATTACATGTGTTTAAATAGTTGCCAAATGACACCTTCAAGTATCCTTATGTATATTGTTGAAATTGTAATTGTGTGAAATATTTCATCATGCATTGCTTTTCGTGTTATGTTCACTTCTTTAAAGAAGAAAAGTCAAGTACGTGTTATGCATTAGAGATCGTCAGGAGTATAAACAACTGTACAATGTTATACATCATGTACACATAAACCCAGACGCGTAGCTTGGGAATGCATTGATTTAATTACGAGCTATTCTTGACGCCTATATTTGAATTCCCTGTAGTAAATACGTTTTCGATAATACAGATTTCAATGTCGAGGGAATTAACCGGAACTGTTGCTTTTCAAGATGGCAAAGTGAAACTAGTGTTAAAATCCCAATTGTGTTCCACATGTACGGATCAGTTGTGGATGTCTTGATCTTGTGGTACTAAAATACTTTTGTGAAAATAGTTTATTATTGTAAGGTAACAATAAATAATCTTTTTTTTCTAATATGTTTGTGAAACGTATTGAATCTATTGATACACAGATATTAAATGTTTCTAAAAACGAAAAATCGAAACTTAGAATAATCTGTTCATAGACATACGGTAAGTGTTTATAAATACTAAAATATTACTCTTACGAACACATGTTTAAAGGCATGTAATATCTAGTTATAATGCGAGAGTCTATACTTTCAAAACAACCTTTTCATAGACTGATGATAGTTCTTTGTAATACACAAAGGTTGCTCCAGAACAATCTGTCTATAAACAGATGGGAAATATTTGTATTACCCAAAAGAAATATACTACATGACATGCACAGGTAATCTGTGCTTATAAAAAAAAATTAGTAACGAGTTATGTTTTTATTTATTTTTTCCAAAAGTCAGATGTTACGTACTGAACATATTAGTACAATTTATTTACGAGAGAATAAAGTTTCAGTTACTTCGAGACTGTCTACATTAATATCTTCTTTAAAAAGTAATTTAACAGTAACTATAAACAGCCTAAAAGTCCAATGCTTTCGTTCCCAAAAGAATGTTATCAACAGTAACTACAACCAACCGAAAAGTCCAATGCTTTCGTTACCAACAAAATGTTATCAACAGTAAGTACAAACAGCCTAAAAGTCCAATGCTTTCGTTACCGACAGAATTGTTTGTAGTTACTGTTGATAACATTCTTTCGGTAACTAAAGCATTGGACTTTTAGACTGTTTGTAGTTACTGTTGATAAGAGCCTAAAAGTCCAATGTTTTCGTTACCGACAGAATGTTATCAACAGTAACTACGTGAACGTTACTTCCACTATGTTTTCCTGTACGACAGTTTCTTTACAAATAAAGGCAACTAATATTATTAAAACTGTTATTTATATTTCTTTACACTTAACTTGTGTTTACGTACAAAGTACTCCCAGCAATATCCGTTTGCTGACAGATGGTTGAACACCATTGGACGCTATACACAAATATGCTCCCATATGATGCCTGGTGACTTTCAGAATAACCAGATATGGTCCGGTTACAGAAGGTACTGAAAAAACAAACAAATTCGTAGGCATTAGCAAAAAAAGGATAATGCAACCTTACGACATAAAAACAAAGCCCACATTTTCAAATGTAACTTAATATAAAAAGCTTCACGTTTTAAGTTTAATCTTACAGGAAACGAGCTCTACATTTTAAGATGTAATCTTACATGAAGATAGCTCCATATTGTGAGGTGTAATTTTGCAGGAAACGAGCTCCAAATTTTCATGTTTAGTCAGAATGAAACAAGGAACATGTTTTAAAATGTAACCACTAATTTCAAAGTGCACGGTATGACTTTCAACGAGAACAATGGTTGGAGATTAGCCCTGCAGTTACACTTTGGATTTTGTAGCTGACAAATCAGGATCGAAGCTATGCCATGTCACAAAATATTTTAACAGCGCTTTAAACTGTGGGTGACAGTAAAGTTCAAAATTAGGGAATCCTTAGTAGCTTTGCCATAAATATAAAATACAAATACAGAAAACATGGCCATGTTTTTAATTTGAACTTATTGAAACAACTTATAGGATTAAAGTATAACGTCATTAAAGCCAAGCACTACCTCTTTCAGTGTAACCATGCTCATCAATGTTTTTAAGCTTTCAAGTGTGAAAAGAAACTATAATTAATATTAATATTAAAAATAAGGCAGTCTTATTTAAAGCGTGAGTTTACTGTGAATCTGGTCTATCTTTTTAAGTGCGTACGTTTTGAAAAGAAATTCTACGTTTCCAATTACAACTTCACTCAAGATAAAATGTAACGTAAATTAAACCAAACCGTACCTTTTACTAAAGTGTAGCTTTGCAAATAAAACTCTACGGTTTAATCTGTGAGAAAATCTACTTGTGGCCATATGAGAACAAAAATAAGTATTTAAATCTGAGTATTGACAGGGAAAACCAATTCTCTGTAAACGTGAAAAGGCATGATCGCAAACTATTGTAGTGTGAGAGTAGATTAAATGTTATCAGTAACAAAAATAAAATTATATTCTAAACATCCGGTGGTTCGCGGTCTTCACTTGACCAGTACAAAACTGACCATTGTACTTATAACAATTAAATTCTCAGAATGAAAGTAAGGAAAAAAGAAGAAATTACCTTTTTTGCTTCCAATAGATATTGGTTGATTATCCTCTCTTCTCCACGTTATGGTAGGTTCTGGAGAGCCTGTGGCAACACATTTTAAAGTAACCTCCTCGTTTTCTTTAACCTCCATGTCGGTGCTGGTGTTTCCTTCGTCTATTCTGGGAGGGACTAAATATTTGAAAGAAAGTACTGTATGAATTACATAAGTCTTGAAGGTATTGAAAGTAAGTACTGTATGAATTACATAAGTCTTAGAGGTATTGAAAGTAAGTACTGTATGAATT